TATATATATATATATATATATATATATATATATATGTGTGTGTGTGTGTGTGTGGTATGTGAAAGTCTATAAAAGTAAAATTGCCAATAGCTATAATGTTCTGTAGTTAGAGGATTATATTACATCATAAAATCTGTTTGAATACAGTATCAACAATGTTTGCTATACTAAATTTCTCATTCAAATGTTTTTGCTGGAGGTATCCATGTTAACTCCATGTCACATGAGCAGGTACTGCAGTTGTTGACCTAAACACATACTGTAAAGCTCAAACTGATATAGTACTGTGGGATTTTTTTCAAGTCAGAGAAAAGTAACAAGTGTTTGAAACACTTTGATTAATATTTTCAGTTTAATTTTGTATCTAAAAATGAGCAATTATTTTTGTTCATACATTATGTATTTCTTTCAAAACAAGGTACTAGTTCAAAATGAAAAAGTTTATTAAAACTGTAAAAATAGAATTAAATAAAACTCAGAATGAAAACCTAAGACATTTCTGACAATGCATATGTTACATCAAGTCAAGGATATGAATAGTTATGGTTTTAAGAATTAGAAAATTAATTGATTAAATTATGAGATGAGAATAACTTTCTGAAATGACTTGATTACTTCCATTTTACGTCACAAATAAAAATATTTCTTAGATATATTTGATTTTGTATGAATTCTTCACTAATTGCTTATGTTGTTTTATCTTTAGGATCCAGAAGCCTTCATAGGAAAACTGTACAACACTTCCTGGTACTTTAGTATTTTTTGTTAATTGATATCGTATACCCTTCAATGTAGGGAATGATCATTGGATGGTACCTCCTTTGCCTGTAAATTTTAGTTTAAGGCTGGGGCAAAGATGTACACATGCATGCATGAGAGAGAGAGAGAACAAAGTAACACTACCATTACACATACAACTTTAGGCTATGGGGAATCTTTTGTGTATTGATAATGCATCATCTTATGTGAGATTTGGTATATTAAACATGTATGTGAATATATTTAAATATACATCATACAACTTTTGAGACCCTATTCAAAGTGCAAATGAGGGCCTTCTTTCAGCTCTAGTAATAATTGCTAAAATAATAATAGGTCAGCTAGAATTTGTACAGTCTTGTATGTCTGTTAAAGAAGTAATTAGCAAAGTTAGCTGTAACCCAGAAACAATAAAACAGCACATAGGTGGAAAAGTTAACCCAAATTCATTCTTAATGTAACATTTTGAAGACAAAATGAGGCATGTTTGGAGGGGGGCTATATTGAAGTATGGGCACACAAGCCTAAACTGACTTTGTACATAGAAACTACTTGTTATTTAAAATTAACCTTAAGAATTGTAGTGTGAATTGTTAATACTAAGTAACTGACATTAAACTATGTGTAAAAATTGTCATAGAGTAAACCCATTAATACTGTTCAACCTAGGTTGTCCTATCACATTACAGTGTGTATTTCTTAATGGAAGTTTGATATTTCTCATTCATTGATTAACAGACAATGTTTTATACAGTTGGCTTAATATATTGTCGTTTGTTAACTATGGTATTATATATAGAGAGTTTGTGTTTTTTTTTTATTTTTCACTTTTTTAAGATGAGAAGGTTCAGAGATCTCAGTAATTGTGTTCTTTTCTAGTCTGCAGTATCTATTTGTAGCAGGAGAACACTGTGATTATGAAACCTTGGAATGGGCTAGAGATAAATTAAAAGTTCCTGTCTTGGATAATTGGTGGCAAACAGGTAAAGGAATAAATGAAATGACATTTTTAAAAGGCTATGAACTGAAATTTTTCATTCAATGTGCATTAGATTGTTGAGTTTTTGTGCTTTTTTTAACTTGCTTTGCCAGTAATTGTAAAAAGAAGTTGAGTAAAGCTGTGTTTCTTGCATATTTTATGTTTATTATGCTTAGTATTGGGGATCTGTTGTATAGTTATGAATAAACATAATATTCATACCACCATAGCAAAGTTAGTTTTTCAGTGATTTTAAATGTTTCTATGCATTTTATGTGGTTATTAGGCAAAATCTTCCTGTCTTATAGGTTCCAAGACTACCTGTGAAGAAAGACATAACAGTCTATTCTTGTACTTAACCATTTTGGTATTTAAAGGATTTATTAATTTTTTAACGATATATGAACATTTTTGTTAAACTTCCTAAATAAAGTTTAAGTTTTGTTTTTGTTTTTTAGGCAAGAGTATCATCCACAGTCATTGCAAACAAAGGAAATAAATTCATAATAATTTACTACAAGATAACTGAATCATAAAAATTACTTGAATGGTAAAAGTTTGTAGTTTGTTTAGATAGTAACCATGCATGATCTTTAGTGTCTTCACTTCAGAAACAGGATCTCCAATGACAGCCACCTGTGTAGGGCTTGGCAACAACCTATATCCTCCACGAGAAGTCAGTGGAATGCCAGTGCCAGGCTGGGATGGTGAGTATACTACAGAGCAATAGGATTTTGGTCTCTTAGGCTTAAATGTCATGAAATTGTTGCTTTTTGTTTTTATCATGCTAACAGATTTCCACGTAATGTAGAACAACAATGTTTTTAATATAACTCCCTGAAAAGTATGTGTATGAAGGATTTCTAAACATTTTTATCTTTAAATCCATCTTGACAGTATGACTATACATATATATATAAGCCATGCTGGGCCTCCTTACTCAGTATTATAAAATTTTCCAACTGTTTCTTAATTTGCCACTTTTTAATTGTCTTTTCAGAAGCATTCATAAGTGAATAGATATAATATCTGAACTTAAAACCTAGAAACGTGCTTATTCAACTTTCATTCTGAGCTCTGTTTTACAGTAATGAAATACACCAGTAAACTGTATGGTGTAAGAGCGTAAGACATCAAAACTGGCAACTTATGGTTTACTTTATGGTATCACGTATGATAAAACATTACAATAAGGCTAGAAATACTTGTAAAACTTTTCACGTTGTTTACTAAAGCTATTATATATTGGGTTATTAACAAAAACAGTGCATATTATAATACATTCTCAAGTGAATTATGTCTTTTATAGGGGCATTTTACTTTCTCAAGAGCTCATTATTGTAGCAGATTTCATTCAGTATCAGAGCTCATTGTTATAGCGGATTTCATTCAGTGTCAGAGCTCATTGTTGTAGGGGATTTCATTCGGTATATAGCTCATCTGGTAGGCAGGGTTTAGGGTTATGATACTTTTCAGTTTTCTTTGAAACACTAATTATGTGTGTCATCATAAAAGACATTAACTATGTAATATTTTTAATGCTGAAGCTGACAATTTATCCTTTTCTAAGATAACAGATGTCTAACATTACAATAAAACTGAATATTTTAAAGAATGTTATGCTTAATTACTCCATTAGTGATATCAGTAGCATTTCCTCCAATATTCTCATTGTTCTATTCTATAGCCTAATGACATATCATATGACAAGGAAGCATTCGCTGAAAGTGTCCTAGAACAAAAAATAACATTATTTTTATACCGGGCCAGTTACTAACACTATTTTGAACCTTACTTTGGTGTTTTATTACATTTGATGTCATTGAAATGCCCCTGTTATTTATTCATATATTTAATTCATAATTATTTACTCCTTGTAGTGTTTATTGTTAAGCACAAAGATACACAATGGGGCCCACCACAGGTATCAAAACCGAATTTTTAGTATTATAAGCTTTCCACAATTACCAGGGATGTAGTGTGGTGTGGATGTGTGGGCACGATGTACCTGTACTTTTTTTTAGCCAGAGTGCCATTCTGCTACTATTTCAAACGATTCCCACCTTATGGTAGATTTTACATTCAGGCACCTCTTTGTATAGCATTGCATCACTGACAATTACAAATGTTAATGTGTTGGTTTAATACTTAAATCTGACACCATTTTCTGGTAGATAATATTTCCAAAACATTACAGCTTCACTGTTGAAAATTATTATTTTAATTAATTTGATAATTATGATAAAATTTCTGACATATATAGTCACATTGTTCTTTGTACTGATGAACTGAACAAATGATATTAATCTGGATGTTTTAATTTAACTTGCATTTTAAGTCTAACAATTTAAAAAGTGGGAAAACATTTTGTCTAACATTTAACTGATAACAATGTACTGTTTCAAGTGGGGGTGGGAGGATTCAGTGCTCAGTTGGAAGGAGAATTGCTTAGTTTTCAATAATATATAGCATGGATGGGATTAGGTTTATATGCCTAGTTATTATTGGCATGAATATAATAATTGATGGTGTAAGAGATGTAACTGTAATGTCACATATTTATGTGGTTCTGTGTCAAATTTAGTGTTACTATATTACTGGTTACATTTTAGTGAGATGATCTCATGTAAGTATCTCTAGTATCAATTAGTAATTAATGATATATGTGTTATATTTTTAACATGTTTGTTGATATGCCCAATAGATGTTGGAATATATATTGAATTCCAATTCTGGATATGTATTTATTAATTTCTGAGATTTTCTTGGAAATTTTTAGATTTTGACCAATATTGGTATATGATTATTTATACAATTAAAATGGTTTAACTCATTGATATTAACACATGAAATGTTCTTCTATGCTAAAAGTAAGTGCAAGTTGTATCTACATCTGTTTGAATTTTAAGAAGTTTTTATTTTTGAAATTGATTAATGAGAAAAATATTAAGAATTGCTCATAAGTTTGAAATTCTATATGCTGTTTTAACCCCAAAACTATATTAAGAACAATAAATTTTTATAGAATTTGTTATTTTTTAGACTAAACTAATGTCCATCAAAGTAATTTGGCACATTAAACCCAATTTTAGCATAGTATGTGTAAGTTGAAGAAAATTTAAAGTTATTATATTTTGTAATTTTTTGAAATAACAAAACCAGCTGCTGAATATTCATTTTAATATTAATGAAGAACAAGAAATCTGATTAACTAAAAAGCCGCAATCTATTGGCAGAATTTTTTTAAGAATACAAACGTTGAAGCTCTAATAGATTATAAACTAGATTTAATATATATATATATAGACAGGAATATTTTGTTTTTCAAAGTACAAGTTGTTCATGAGGAAAAGCAATCACCTGCCAAACCTGGAGAATTGGGTCGTATATTAATAAAGTAAGTAGTTCTGTAAATTTCTGGTAACTATTTTGTTATTCTCTTTTAAAAGTTTGATGAAGCTACAAAGACAAAAAATTAGTCAAAATAAAATGCTCTTTTATAAGTATCTGGAGAATAAAGGTCATTTTTTTCTAACCTTTTTATCAAAATAATTCTAGTTACTAAGTACGTCTGGAATATTTCACAATTTTTAAGTGAACTGTGGCCCCTTTATAAATAAGGTAATTTCTCTGGAAGATGTGGTTAGTTAAACAATATTTATATACACATCACAAGCCTATCTAGCATCACAAGCTGCTATGTATGAGAAGTGACTGAACTAATTTCAATAAAATTTGGTATAGGAACTTGTATGGATTCCCCAAAGATCCTATTTAAACAGCATTCATTTCAATTTTAACACCATAATGTCCTAAATGAGAGACCAGTTGAGTGAGGAGGTAGGTAGCAAGATATATGAAACCAATGCCAAATGAAAGTACCTTTGTATCAAATGAATGTTTTGTGTGCTACAGCTCACAATAGAGGAAGGGGTGGCTCATGCCCCTATTTATGGTAGTACCAGTTATCTTTTCTAATAGTATGTAAAGAGACATACTACTCTTAGTAAAGCTTTATTTAGTTAAAAATAACATATTATTTCTCTATATATTCTCTTTTTTATATATCATAAAAATTCCAGATAAACTCCTTTTTTTTATTCAAACATCAATGAAATGGAAACTAGCACTGCAATACTTGCAACACTGTGTAAAATATTATTGAAAACCCAAGTTGTTTCATTATGAAAAATTTTTATTTGGTCAATATTTGTAGCTTGTCATACTTTTGTACAATTTTTAGTAAAAAATCATATATGTATGATATTTAGTTAGTCTGTAATAATTTATTAATATAATATGTTTTGTTTCTTTCAGTAACAAAACATTTTTTGTGCAGGTTACCATTACCTCCAGGATCATTTTCTACTTTGTACAAGAATGAAGAGAAGTTCAAAGAGATCTACTTCACAAAATACCCTGTAAGTGATGATGGTTGTAACTATATCTTGAACTTCTAAGGGCCTTTAAGCACTAGAAATTTGTTAGAAACTACAAATACAGGTTTTTTATTTTTAATTAAGTGCAAGTGGTGAGAGGAAACTAAAAATCAGTCACAAGTGTTATCAAGTGTTACTACATATACCCTAGGCTTACTTAATATTAAATAGCATTAAGAATTTGATCATCTTTTGTACATCTAATATTATAAGAAAAGTCATTGGTTGAAGAGCAGCCTTAAAGCTGCAGAAGCACTACCAACCAAGCACCAGAATAAAAACAAGCAATGATTCAAAATGTTTTATTAAAGTTATATATTTTTTGTTATCTTTCAGTGTGTAGGCTTGTCCATATCACTGTAATATCTATTTCAACTTAAAATATTTTCTTCCTGGTTCAGGAAATCACATTAAGGTAATGGATTAAGGATTAATAAACAAAATATTTTGAAACATATATGCACATAAATTTAACAGATCACATTAATCTACTATCAAGGCAAGCAATTAGTGCAACGTTAAAATATAAATAAAGTGCAAAGTTCCTTACTTTCACAAACTCAAATATAAGTGATTCTTATTTTTTTATGTGTAATTCATCCATTTATGAATATTAAAAGTATTGTATGTTATAACATTGCTCTAATTGCAGAAATGAAATATACAAATTTAAGAAACTTGTTGTCAAATGTGACAAACCTAAGCCTTCAGCTATACAAGTTTGGAAAAAGTCTCATCTTTAACTGAATGTGCACAGGCTTGGTCCATTGGACTCATGTTGGAGAAGGAATATTGACTATATTTCAAAATTTATTATGTATATTTACATAAAATGTGGCAAACTTTTAATAAAATGTACAAGTAAAATTATATGAGTTACAAAGTTATTAGTACTCGGACATGTCTGTGGATTGACATCAGTATAATTCAGGCTCTGACAAGTTGGAATGCAAGGTGATGTTCACGTAAAGAATAAAAATAATTTTGTCCGTCATATAGTTTGCATACTATAATTGCATAACCTCTACAACCCTAGTATTCGTGAATATTTTATCTGGTATTTACTCTTCTGTACCAAAAAACATTGCTAAATCAGCAATGTAGGGTAAAATTAACAGTTGATAACTCTAACATCAAATGCACAATATTATGTTGACTGGCACTCTAAAATGTCATGGCTTGTGCACTTTGACCATCATCCAAGTGCATAGGTTAATTCATTCACTAGAATGGGTCATATAGATATACCACAAATTAGGCTTAATGAAATGCATAATTAGTTCTGGAATGAAGAAAAAAATCTTTAAAACAAAAAGATCATTGGCAAAAAATACCAAATATTATAATTAACTGTTTATCTATACAGATCTTGTTTCTTCATTGCATCGTAATAATATTAACTTATGGCTCCATTTCTCTATTTTTTATTATTATCATTATATAATACAAAGTAATCAGTGTGTGTGTGTATATATATATATATATATAGTGGGAATTGTATGACACTACCAGAATCAATTAATGTAATTGTATTGGATATAAACACTGACAGTATGCAGATGGAACTTTTCTTGTTGAATTTATAAATAATCAGCGTAATTCCCAAACATATGAGGTATGCCAATATTAATGTGCATATCTTTGTGATTTTTAAAGAGAGAGCAAGTACTAAATACTTTTTTAAATAAGTCTCAATATTCCAGGGCTATTATGATACTATGGATGCTGGGATGATAGATGAGTATGGCTTTATTAGTGTCTTGTCTCGAGAAGATGATGTCATCAATGTAGCAGGACATCGTCTTTCTACTAGTGCCTTGGAAGAAGTAAAAGATAATTCTTTACATCTTTAAATGAATTTTGGTGTAAACAGAATATTAGCCATTTATACAAGTAACTGTAAGGGAATACATAAAGAAAAACACCTCATTTGTACAAGTAACTTTACAAAGAGATAAAGTTGTGTAAGATGCTGCACACAAAAGTTTCAGTTCCAATTATTTTGTTTTATGTCTCTTTTGTATTTGAAATTTTGGGATAAAATAGTTTTCTTTAAGCTAGATCTTTTGTGTCAAACTTCTGTTTTTAAAATTGGTGACAGTGACATGCTAGTGGGATTTCTTAACATACATCTTGTATTAATCTGCTCTAAGAATGACCATTTCTATTTTAGCAGATTTAAATTCATATTGTATGTAATGTAAACAAACTATCTACTAGTAAGCTATATACAAATGTCACTTTTAGCAGTAAGAATCATCAAAATTTGCTACTGAAAGGAAACATTTCACATTTTTTCAGGCAATCATGAGCCATCCTGATGTAGTGGAATGTGCAGTTTTTGGAGTCCCTGATGCATTGAAAGGAGAAGTTCCACTGGGACTCTATGTGATGAAAAATGGTGAATATAACATGATATCTTAAAATCAAAGGTTTTTATCTGCATTTATATGTGCCTGTGTGTGCACAGGAGCATGCAAGACAAGCTCAATTGGATAAGATAGATGGTTCTGACAAAGATATGGTGGTGATATGTACTTACTGCAAGATTTTAATGAAAGGGATTAACTGAAAATATAATATTGGCCAGTATAAATTTTAGTATTCAAATTATAGAGAGAAAATTATGTTGTTACATTTGATAGGTGTATTTTTATTCTAACTGGTAACGTACATACTGATGAACAAGATGAATAAGCATTATACATAAGAAATTATTATCTCATTGAGGGAAGCACAGTTTACTGGCAGGTTGTTATTATTAGGGCACCACCATGTAAAATTTAAAGGTTTTTCAGTACAATTTCATATCAGTTAAATAAATAACAAAGAAATATTTGTTTCCTTATTAGCATGATTTGTCATTTATTAGCAACCTTAACAAAATGTAGTAAAATTAGAAATTTACTTTGTTAAAAAGCTTTGAATTACTTTAAGTTACAGCAGTAAAAGAAAAGTTTAATTTTGTTATTAGCTTCAAATATGTAATGGATGGGTCAATGTGAAATCTAATTAAGTTAGTCATTATAGTGTGAATTGGAGAAAATATTCTTGTAATTTTTGGCTAAATTAGTGTTAGTATCATTAATGAGTAAAAATTACTGTAAAAACGAAGTTGCAGTATTAAATGTGGTAAATATACCTGACTTCAGTAAGAAAGGAAATGAAGACTTCTCTGAACTCATACAATTATTGGAAAAACTATCAGCCAACAATTGTAGTGAAAGTAAATTTTAGATTTTGTTTGTATGATTAAAAGTTCTAGAATGTGGAAGTAGCTTTAAACTGTTAGGGACTTGATATGTTTTAAAAATCAAAGTACTAAAACAACAAGCTATATTTATCTAACATTATTACATTTTAAAAGTAAAAATGAAGGACATTAGATAGTAGACATTGTGGTGCCCTTATGATGTGGACAACACATTCTAAAAATAGCTGTAAAAGATTCAGTTGGATAATGTATCTCTAATGTAGGATATTGCTTTACTTAGCTTGTAAATGTTGGCATGAGGTTTAGTTTGTATAAATCATGGGATAAAAGTTCAGTATGTTTTTGCAAAAGATGCCTTATATGGAATATTTTGTAA